TAATGTACATTCTATTGGCTGCTTTTGACAGATGTCTAGTTCTCCCTCAATCCGATTCCACATAATACTTTCATTGCCATTAAATCCACACTGGTGGCCTCTTTGGGATCCGTGCTATCCGAGGACTGGCAGTGATACTTGTTCTGTCCGGGCTTGATATTTTCCGCTGTGAGACATGCGTTTGCAGACTCAGCGTCTTGCTTTTAGCAACGCAGTGATTTCCAGCATTTTGCGCAAATCGATAGGAGGGAAACGTAAATCTGTCAGCGTGTCAAGACGAATGTAAATAATGGTTCAAATGGAACAGAACATGTAGGCCTACACCTTCCTTTTCTTATGCGAACAGTCGTAGAATAGCTATATACACAAAAACCATTCTGAATATTCTAAACCCGCTAAACATAGCCTAAATGTAGCCTATAAATTATATCCTATTGGTGTTGTTGTTGTTAATATATTAACAATAGCTAATATTATTTCTTAATATTATTATTAAGCTACTATTAATCTGTTAAGTTTATTATTTAATAGTATTTAACTAACAAAAGTTAGGCTATTAGAAGGCTAGGCTAGCATATAGCCTTCTCCAAGATTCTAACTCAAATGAGCGGTACAAAATACTATAATTGGCGATATAGGCTAATGCACATTTTAGGCTACATGTTATTCATTTAATAGCCATTCTGACAGTATCAACCTTAATATTAATTGTCCTTAAGTGTCCTGCTAACTTAATATTAAAAATATTATAATTTATCACTCACAACACTATTCCAACCTGTTATAGCCTAAGTCTATTTACGCGTGCTCAATAAAGCCGTGCCTGCTAAATTTATTATGTTCAAAAAATGACTGAATTAAATATTTTCAAAAAACGTTTTTTTTCTTTCTGGAAATTCTAAAGTAAAAAAAGACTCATATTACCAAATCTGTTATGTTTAAATAATGAGACGCGTGCCTTGTCAAAATATAGACTTCCTATCTTACAGTTAATTGCTATCACTATTTTAGAGTGCGGGGAAAATACACAACATGATCTATCTTTTTTCCCCTTACAACATACCCTATTCAAACATTTTTGCAATAATATCAAAACAAATGAAGCACTCTGGTAAAGTCATTTTAATTTAAAAAGTTTCGTGCGTAGCCTAACATTGTGAATAATAAAGAAAAAAAACTAAAAGCTCGTCTTAAAAAAAAATTATAAGCGAACAAAATCTCGAAGAACAATGCAAGATGAAGAAACGAAGAGGTCCCCAGCTCAGATTAAAATCTCTCTCTAGGCAGGCATACATACTGTGATAAACGGGAGTCGGTTTGGCTGGCTGTCCTCCTGTTTTCACAAATGTCCCAAAGAGTCGATGACAAGTCGTCTTGTACGGACACATAATTTGTGTCATGTGCAGGTGGCCGATTGTGTGATATCCGACAGGAGCATCTCAATGGTGAAGTCTCACTCCAATTAGGGTCCCCTTTAAGAATGTCATGTTAGCCAGACGTGCAAAGCCACCAACCACCAACATAAAAACAAAACGTGTAGCGCATAGAAAAAGAAAGAAAAAAACACACACACACGCACATTTTTCCCACCCATTTACAGCCTTAAGTTTAATGTAAAACAGCAACAGCAATGAAGAAGAAATGTGGGTTTTGGGTGACAGTTGTGTCTGCGTGTGAGCAGCCTGTGTCATGTAGGCTAGTAAGTACTATATTTCCCCCTGGTCAGAAAGGCAAAACATTAAGAGAAGGTGTTGTAACAATCGATTTTGGCATGAATTTGCTTGATGTGTGTTGTCGAAATGAAAGTCTAACTGCAACCTTATTACTAAAAAGCAGATTGTGTGTTATTAGTTTGTCACAAGCGTGAACTCTTCTGCCATCTAGCGACCAAGCAAACAGAGGATGCCTTGCTAAGTTATTATAAAGTACTCTACTGCCATCTAGTGTACTTATGTTGAACATCGTCTGAAAATGATTTCCATGATTTTTAAAACTGGAGTTTTGTAGCTTTTACGATATTCTTGGAAACATTACATTCGTGGAGATAATTTTGTCATTTGGATTTTTTTTAAAAACATCGGTTTAATGCTGGGTTTTAGTCTTTATATTTAAAAGGACTGATTATTTAGGTATGGGGGTCTTTGGTGGTGTTAAGGGTTTGGTGGTATTCTTGTGCAGGCAGGTGGTTTCCAGTGATGCCTTGATGCTAGCTGGTGGGCCTCTCTAAAGAAGTTTCGCTGCAGACTAGGGTCCCTAATGATATATCTTTGAGGGGGAGGGGTTTACGGCAATGTGTTAGTTGGCTTCTGGTGGGTGTGTGGTGGTAATGCTGTTGAAAGGTTTAATGATGTCCTATTTCCAATATTATGCATTCTGCATCATGCTCAAGTACATCTTGTATTTACAACAGCTCTGACTAAGTGTTTGTTTGTGGATGTGAGCTAAGTTCACATTTAGCTGGTTTGCACAACCTGAAGAGTATGATGACAATTATTTTGAGGAAAATTTCACATCCTGTTATTCATTGACAGAACTGATCATCAAATTCAGCAGTTCTCTTTTTAAAATGTTTGCTTCTGCCCAAGAAAGGGTATTTATTTACAGCACCAAATAATAAATTATCTGTGAGGTATTGAGCTTAAACTTTATAGACACATTCTGGCGACACCTGAGACTTATTTTACATCTTGTCAAAAGGGCAATAATAGGACCCTTTTAAAATAAAATGTGAATGGGCTTAGGGTGGGAGTGACGATGGATGGTGGTGATCCACCCATCCATCCATCCATCCATCTATTCTCCAGACTGCTTGTCCTCCATAGGGTCGCAGGACACCCCAGACAGATGGCCAGTCCATCACAGGTGAGCTCAATTTGACAGGGATAAGTATTCTCAGGTGAGCATACAGTAATCTCTTTTGTCAGGTAAAATTTAGATGCAAAATTTTATTTTACTCAGGCGCAGAATTAGTCTTGTGATGCCCTAGTTCACAAGAGAGGATCGAAGATCGCTTGTTCACTGGGAAGGAGAGTAGGACATATATTATTCCTGTTGGAATAAGGTCTTTTAACCTGAATGGACCTCTAACTCCCTCTTGTGGTGTAAATGTTTTTCTACTTTATTATAAGTGAGTGCGTCTACTCAATGAGGAATGCATACATTTTCACTGTAACTGTTTACTTTATTCAAAGTAGGCTACTGTACTTTTGATATTATTACAATCAGGCAGAGGCGGACAAAGTACTGCATTACACAACTGCATTACTTGAGTGAAAGTACAGATACTACTGGTCAAATACTACTCCACTACAAGTGAAAGTTGTAAAGACAGGTTTTTACTTAAGTAAAAGTACGAAAGTACATGCTTTTAAAAGTACTTAAGTATCAAAAGTAAAAAAGTAAATAAGTTACAAAGTTCTTTTTAAAAGAGATATTGAAGGCTGTGATATGGTTCATTTTAGGCAAACAAAGCAAAAATTGAACAGAATACAAATCTTTAGTCTTTTCAGAATACTGGAACATACTCTCTCAGTATGGCCATGGGTGTGCAAGTTGCGCCAAAGAACAGTCTTTTTGAATTTTGCCATCAACTGATCAGTGTTCATAAAATGCTCATAAATCAGTGAACGTCACAACATGTGGCTAGGGTTTGGTATTGTTTTAATTTGATCCACCACACTAATATGTGCCTTTTTCGTCTTTTATTATCTTATTTGCCTTTTTAGAGCACTTTTAGCTGTGCAGTAGCACAGACGTTTACATTAGTTTAGCGGGGAAGGTCCAGAGGTTGCCAGATTTGCGTAAGAAAATCAGCCAAACATCCATTCAAAGCTAGGCTGAAAACTGCAGACTTAGAAATACTGTAAGACTTGGCAACACTGGAAGGTCCTGGCAGATCGCAGGCCGGATTTTCGCAGAAAAAAGGGTTCAGTGAATAAATGCACACACTGGAAAAACTGCTACATATAACGACTTTCTACTTGGGGACCTTGATATAAATGTAGCGGAGTAAAAAGTACGATATTTGTCT